CGCCCGGGACCCGAACCCGGGCCGCCAGCAGCGGAGCGCACACACTTAACCGCCAAGCCATGGGGCCGGCCCTTTCCTGTCCTTTTTGAATAAAACAGCCCTGACATCTGTTTGTTCTTGCCGCTGGCAGTTGGGAAACCGGGCTTGGTGAGGTTTGATAACATACCAGAGTTTATTCACATCGGAATGATTAAGACCTCGGGGCCGGCCCCGTGGCATAGCGGTTAAGTGAATGTGCTCTGCTGCTGGCTGCCCGGGTTCGGATCCTGGGCGCGCACCAATGCACCACCTGTCAAGCCATGCTGTGGGGGCAGCCCATATAAAGTGGAGGAAGAGGGGCACAGATGTTAGCCCAGGGCCAGTCTTCCTTAGCAAAAAGTGGAGAATTGGCATGGATGTTAGCTCACGGCTGATCTCCCTCACAAAAAAAAAAAAAGAAAAAAAAAAAGGAATGATTAAGACCTCAATTTTAGCTATATATCTTAACTCCCCTTTGAACCAGCTCCTCTGGGTCGCTGGACTTAATAAAATGAGGTGCTTGCTTTGTTCAAAGATCATTAGGAGGCAGAAATGCAATTTCTTCAAGAATTATCCAAAGCGATAGAATTCAAGTGACTCTTAAGAGTTGCTTCAGAAAAGAGGGCAAATAAGTATTGATTGGTGAGTCATGTTTATGAGGTGATAAAGCCTGTTTGCTTTCTCTTGCAGGGGAGCCGTGTTGTGTTTACTTTTGCTCGAGAAACACTTCTTGGACACAGCACATCAAAGACGCAGTTTTTGGATGCATTGTCGGCAGCTTAAAGAAGAGGACACCTTCCTGCCAGGACATGAAATGATACACTCCCCTGGGAGCCTGCCCCAAATAACAGCACTCGTGGAGATGAGCCCTTCTAGCTGATTTTTATGGCACAGTCTCCTTACGATTTTACAAATAAAGGAAAAACCCCACAGAAAGTGATGTCCGCCCTACTTCAGGATGTCCTGCTGATTGCCTGGTGACCGTGTCAGGACAGCCGAGGACAGGCTAGAGGCCTGAAGAGCGGTGCTTGGGCCTTTCTGTTATCTGCGTCATTGCTCATAGGATTCACGAGAGGATTCTGGGACAAATAAAGGAGCTGAACTGGATACTTGATTCATAGGTGGCCTGGAACAGACAGGAATGTACCAGACCTGTGTTGAAGCTAAGCCATATTTATAGTAACATTTAAGATTCCTCGAAATCAGGAGCATTTGATTTCTACCCATAAGTACTACATAACTGCCATCAGTATAGCTTTTATAATGTAGCATGTGAGCTGTGAGTTGGTCCTCTAAAACAACATGGGCTGGAGAGTGGGGAGGCAGATTGCCATCTTGGCTCCTGCTAACTCGTTCTGTGATATGGAGCAGATCCTAACCTCTCTGTTTTTCACAGGACAAATGGGGATAATTGGATACAGATCTTTCTACTTGCGATGATTAAACAGGGTAGCTCAGTGTAAAAAGCACAGGTTTAGGTTCAGACAGACAGACTTGGGTTTGATTCCAAGTGCTGGCACCCTCTAGCTCAATAATCTTGTACATAATTTTAAATGTTTCTGGAGCTCGTTTTTTAAATTTGTAAAATGGGGTTATAGCATTAACTTTGTGAGATTGTTGGACTGATTTGAGGTCATGTATATAAAATGCCTAGCTTACTCTCTGGTACGTAGAAGTCCAGTAAGTAGAAGCCATTATTATGTGAAACCATTTTGAAAATGTACTTCTCAAATATAGGATAGTATTAGTGTTTGAAAATTAGAGGACAGTAATTTACATTTCCTGTGATCGGAAGCCAAAATATAAATGTGCACTACCTAATAGAAAGCTTGAAGAGAGGCAATAATTTGGAATTCATCTTCTTAAGATAAAAATTGGGCCATTACTGGAAAGTCGTAGGGAAATTGTTCTTTTTTTAATATTTGAAAAATTTTCCACTTAGTACATTGATGAATTTCAAAGCAATTATTTTTTTATAGAAGCCTGCCACTGTGAACCTCTTCTTATTGTATTTGAGCTATTTGTGCTGCCTGAGTTTGTCTCTTAGGATAATTTCCCTTCATTTCCTTAGTGTTTCATTCTTCAATTGTGTTGGAGGGAAAATGAATGGTAGAAACCAGAACACCCTTTGACCTCCTTTTCCAGTTTGTAAATGGCATTTAGTAGGCTTTGGGAATAATAGCCCATTTCCAAAAATAAGAGGTGATGTGAATTATCATGCAAGTGAGAGGCAAGAAATTTGTATTTGCAGGTTGACGTTGGCATAAACTTAACCCTTCATACTCAGCCACTTGCATCCTCTGAATGCAGGAGTTTTCAACCTTTGCTGCCCATTAGGACTACCTGGGGAGCTTTATGCAATCCTGCTGCCCAGGTTACATCCAGACCAATAAATCAGAATCTCTGGGGGGGGTGGAACCCAGGCACCAGTATTTTTTAAAGCACCCCAGGTGATTCCAATGGGCAGCTAAGGATGAGAACAGTACAATGAATTGTACATGATTCCCAAGTAATCCTCTGGGCATTATCTGATTTCTTGACACCTCTCAGGTAGAAAAGGATCTTTGTAGCAAGAGTTTTTGTTAGAAATAGAATGAGTGAAGCACAGAGATGTTGAATTTTTGTCTTAATTCCTTGAAGCTCCAATGCAAATGCCTGCAGGGGTCTGGCAGGTGATCTGGTGAGTGAAGCAGACTGGTGGCCACTGGGGAGACCCCCAGGAGCATACCCCCTGCTAAAGGTGTGCAGCTGCTGACTGGCTCCAGCACAGTGTGGCCACGTGGCTGATTTTTCTAGTTCTTCCAATTTCCAATTTTGCAGGAAAAGGCAGAATTTGAAAAAAAAGACAAGTCCCAATTTTTACATGGTGGTAATGAATTCAAGGATTGTTTAAAATATTGTGCTGGCCAAGCAAAACATGTTTGCCAGTAGTTTCCAGCCTCTGCTTCAAGAATGTTAAGGACCAGCCTAGACATCCCAGCCAGTTGTTAATAGATTTGCATTTTCCTGTTCTGGAAGTAAGCTGCATTCTGCCTCTCCTCCAAGACTGCTTTTAGATGTATTTTCCTCTCCATTCCCAAGTAATCCTCTGGACTTGCTTCAGACACATTTCCTCACTCAGTATTTTATTTTCCCCTGCAAGCATCCATTGCTTCATTCTTCACATATATGGCTTAGAAATCTTATGTTCTTTTTAAAATTAATCAGGGCTTGTTAGAGTTTATTTTTATTATATGTCAGAATCTTTTTCCTATGATAAACCACTTAGAAGCCCACATTTAACTTTATTTTATTATATATAGTCTAGTGTAAGAAATGTCAAAACCAGGAGTACAGCCTTAGTGGGCACATTAGGAACAAGGGTGGGAAAGGGTTAATTCCCAGACCTGGCCAGTCTCCTCCTGACTGGGTTGCTGAGCCTACACTTCAAGGTGATGATTTACTATAGTGATTCCAGGACTTCCGCTTGTACCAGAATCTCTGGGGAGGTGTGCTAAACTGCAGGTTCCCAGGCCGCTACCCCAGCGATTCTGATTCATGAAATTTCGGTTGGGACTCAGGGATCTGCATTTTAAAACAAGTTCACCAGGAGATTCGGTTGTGCTGTTCCACAGACCACATCTTGAGAAACACTGATTAGGGGAAGTGTTCTTGGCCTCTGCATCTCCTATCATTTAAGAAGGTTTTGCAGTCCATCGGGCCCACTGATTAGTACCATTGATCACTCAGGACACAATATAAAGTTCTTTTGCAGAGAGAAGCTGACTTAAGCTGTCCCTACATGATTGAGGTGCTTGTACCATGAAGGGGCTTTTATAGTTTCAGTCATATGTGGATTAAAAAGGTGCTGTATTCTTTTTATATAAATTGCTTTGTGTATCTTATAAGCCGTATACGTGTAGTAATATCCCATTTATCAGACATTGTGAGGTGCATGGTATGGACAACTCCAGGTGATTCTTTTAAGTTGCACATCTTTTTTGCTTTATTTCAACCATTTACAAGAAACTCTTAATTTAGTATACATTTTCCTGCTTTTGCAAACAATCTACTGAAGATGATGAAATCTTCAGGGTTATCATTTATGTTTTTGATTCTTTCAGGTCCTATAATAGTTATGAAAGCCCCTGCACTGAATGGCTCTGCTCTTTGAGTGGTTTTATAGTTTTTCTTTTCTATCTCTAGGAACTTTCCTCTCATTTGCTGTATGGGGTTGGGAAATCATGTAATTGCAACTATATGTCAAGTAACAGTAAACAGGATCTGAATGAGGCTTTGGGAGGCTTTTCTAGCAGTAAAATGAATGAACATTGCTGCATTGACTTGGTGATGTTATCTTAGAGGCTCTGCTACTTCCTCTAACTTATTTCTTGATCCTCAACTGCAGTTGTCAGGTCTGTGACCTCAAGATAAGTGAGATGTTGCTACAAATAATTTAATCTGTAAGCCATTGTCTCCCCCAGTTGTATTAGTGTTTTTATATATACAGTTCTATAATATGAAAAGAAAGTAGATTGAAATTCAAATGAACATTTCTCAGGCCAAGTTTTTGTGCAGGATAGTGTTTTTGATTCTATCTTATTGTGATTTAGAGCTATAAATTAGTTGTATACCTGTGAATTCAATCCTGCACTCATTCTGAAATAAAGGTGTTATAACTAATATTTATGTGTGAATTTGAATTTCTTGGGGGTATCACCACTCAGTAGAGCTTGTGTTGATCATTTGTAGCGATGATCCTAGTCCTTTTCAGTGGCACCAGATGGGGATGTTATACCAACCATGTGATGTTAGCTCCCTGCTTCCTCCAAGGTGAGCCATTAAAGTTTCTCCCAGAAATGAGCAGAGGCCACTCTTATTGAATGACCTGAGTGGGCCATGGGCTGATGGAGCAGAGGACCAGGGTCTGCAGAGGGAGAAGAAATGAAGCACAGTACAGACAAACAGCAGCATGAAGTCAGGTGGTCCCAAAGAGGGAGGGGAAGAGAGAGCAGCTGTTTGTTGACCTGTGAGGCTTAGCTATATTTCCTGTACTTTGTTTCCATGAGATTTGCCATTATCCTTCCATTTGTCCCCTTTTTACTTGACTGTATTTGAATGGATTTCTGTACTTTGTTTCCAAAATGCCTTGTCTAAGCCCTATTGATGCCTTTCTTTTGTTAGAGCCTGAATGCCTTTACAGGTAGAGTCCTTAGTTCAGCAAGTGTTTATTGAGCACCTACTGTGTGCAAGAGAAAGGCAGAATTTGTTTTCTCTTTTGACTTGATCCAGGGGGTTTCCAGGAAGGCTTACGCCATCGTTATATTGACAGATGGCAGTAGTGGGCACCAATTGATGGTAAGATCAGAAACAGCTCTTGGGTAAATCAAATGATGATTGCTTATTTAAAGGATGTAGAACAAGTCAGCACAGGACGCATAGTGGAAAGATCAGCACAAAAATGTGTAGCTTGGTGGCCCTGAAGCAGCAGATTGCACAGTTGTGGATGATCATGTCTGAATTGGTGAGGGCACATCGTAACTTACCTTTTGGAAGATAGCTGGTTCTCTCTACGCCTCTATTTCAGGGTACAGGATATTCAGGCCTAAATGTCGTTTACTTTCAGACTGTTTTGACTATTACAGCCTGGTCTGAGGACATTCCTGAATTCAGGGCTGCAGTATCAGCACAGTGTTTCCCTGATGTCTGGGCGGGACACGCTAACTCGTGTGGGCTAATCCCGCAAACCCCAGAACCTCAACACAAGCCTTGGAGAGACCGAGGCAGGTAAAGAGGTGGAGTCCTAAAAATGACAAGCCCCGTGTGATGGGGACTCAGAATAGAAATTAAATGAATGTATAGAAACTTAAAATGCAGTATTTAAATTTTAAAATGCAGTATTTCTTTCATACCTTGACTGCCAGTTGGAACGCCATGGGGAGCTTTAAAAAATACTGACGCCTGGGTCCCATCCCCAGAGATTCTAGGTTGCATCCCCAGCATCCTGAAGCCACGGACAGCAATTCCTACCAACTTCAGAAGTAAAGTCTGTTCTCCTATAAGTGGCTTACCACTTATAGGAGAGGGGAGTTTGTAATATGAGACATCTCCTTTCTGGTGTTTTGCCTCTAGTCCTTCAGAAAAATATGATTCACTGTTCAAAAAAAAAGTGCTCCAGTGTCTCTTAAATGCTAATAGAAGAAAGATCCTAAAAATACTCCACCATGCATAACCTGCTTTGTTATAATCAAAAATTTGAGTTGCATTTGTTGGAACAGAATCCCATGCAGAAGAAGGATCTCATAATAACTGGAG